GGAAATAGGGAGCTAACAGCTGTGAGTATGAGAAAGAAGAAAATGTGCTGAAACTGATTGTGATGTGAATGCCCAACTCTTCTGAATATGATCGAACTATTAAATTGTATGATATATGAATTAAATGCCAATAAAACTATTAAAAAATAGAGAAAAAAAAATAAAAATAAAAACCACAAGTTAATTCTATTCTAAATCTAAATTCCTTAGATGAAAATAGCTTTTAGAGTCAAAATAGACATGATGCCATTGTGCAGGTTCTGTCACAAATCTGCCCTCGTAAATGTGATTTGCCCATCAAGGCCTCAATTTCATCATCTGTGAAGTGAGGTTCCAGAATATTTTTAAAGTTCATTCTAGCTCCAAGATTATGTTTCCACAATAAAAATACTTTTGCCTCTCCTAAAGAGAATGAACCAACTATTTCAAATTATCATTGGCCAAACTATTACTTGCCTTTAAGCCCTCTTGATATTTATATAGTATTTGAAAATTATTGCAATGTTATTAATTTTATTTTTTAATCATTTTATTAGGGGCTCATACAACTCTTATCACAATCCATACACACATCAATTGTGTAAGGCGCATTTGTACATTCACTGCCCTCATCATTCTCAAAACATTTCCTCTCCACTTAAACCCCCGACATTAGGTCCTCATTTTTCCCCTCCCTCCCCGACAATGTTATTATAACGAGATTTATAAATGTTGTCATTAACAAAAGTTCTAATAGACACCAGAAAACAACAACAAAAATCTAACCTAAAAACAAACTTAAAAATGTATAATAACCAATCAGATTTTCAGGTACAGAGTACAGAGGAATAAGGGGGGAGGGGGGTAGAAGTCCTTAAGAATTAAGTTTAAAAAAAGAGAATTCTTAAGTAAAAGATTTAGAAGTAGGACACTCAAATTATGCTTTTTTTAGTTTTCATTTTAACTGCCAAACGAACTCATAAGGAATGCATATACTAACCCAATGTCCATTTACGAATTATGTATTTCAGATATTAATAAACGTTCAAATGGGAAATGTATACATTCTGAAACCTATTTTCCCAACTAGAATATACATTGCTAAAATTCAAAGTTTCAATACTCTTAATTTAAAAATAATACAACTTAAAGGTTCACACCAATTTAAATGAATCTTCATATTTTACACTTTTCAGCATCTCAAAGCACTAGATATAACCGTAAGCAGCAGCTTCAATCAGGCACTTTGATTTATTTTCACGGAAAGAATTGTGCCCCATTACTAAGAAGGGGAAAACCGGGGGGGGG